CAAAAGTAAAATTAAGCTTTCAGTTTTTCTACAACAAGGATTATTCCGAATAAGAAAATTAAAGAAGCTCTAATAAATTGGTGGAGAAAACCATCGAACCATTATAAGAACATACCAGTGGTAGGTGTTCTTGATATGCCTTCATTATTAAATCATCATGTAAGATATGAAACACTACTTGCCAGGATCTGGATGGTAGAACGGAAATGAGGAAAATTACTAGCATTCATTTATGAAATGAAAAAAAAAAAGATAAAGAGAATTGGGATATTGATAATTAAATACTCATGAATCCAGAGGAATTATGGATACATTCAAGTTTTATCAGTGTATAACATTTCTTTGCTTAATTAACTGATAAATTTTGTCGTATATCCATAAATTTTGCATGGTTTGCCTAATTCATTGATATCCTTCTTTCATATAGATATTGTGAGTTCTCATTTCCAAGTTGACATTTTGTCAAAGAAGAAGGTGCAAAAAACAGATTCAATGAAATATGATGATGTGGCTGTAAAAATCTTGCAAACTTACTAAATAGATGGAACCACATTTGAAATTGGTGGGAAGAAGCTGAAGTTGAAAAGAAATGACTTTAAGTTGATTTTTGGGATTGCATGTGGACAAAAGAGATGAATCTTACATATGGAAGAAAAAAATGAGATAGATATGGTGAAAAAAAGAAAAATAACAGAGAGTAGAATAACAAGTGCATCAATCCAAAAGTTGATAACCAAACTTTTGAGAAGCAACAAGAAAAAGAATAGAGAAGATGTTGTCAGGCTTGTGTGCCTCTTGATTTGTTTGCCTTTGTTATATTCGGGTGCTGGGACTACAATCGGTTGGTCGTTCATGAAATATATCAAGGATATTAACAAAATGAAGTTTTATGATTGGTGTGGCACAACGAAACAACAGCTCACAAGATCAATAGCAAGTAACATGAACCAAATCGATAAAGTCTCTAGATATGTGATGGTCTTATTGGTAACTAAATATCTTACTTACAAGTTATAAGATATAATATTTACATTGACTACATAATTAGTTATAACAATTTTTTTTGGCTTCAACAGTATTGGATATGCGAGCATACAAGCATTATCAAACCAAATGACAATAATGCAATCCCAAGATTTGCAAAATGGAACATCACATATTTGGAACAACAATTGGCAAATTCATCCTTGCAAGATCTGAAAAATATTGCGGTATGCATTGCTAACCTTTGTTTTGTTTAAACGAATGACAGATTTTCTTATGCAGTGATAAATTATTGTTCACACTGATAAATTTACTTAATTTGCCTAATTGAGTGACAAATTTCTCTTAGTTTACCTAATTAAGCGATAAATTTTTCTATGCAATGAATGTTTTTCTATTTCTCTACTGTGCATGAGTTTTGTTTCATATTTACTTTATTTATGTTACTTTATATTAGACTAGAATTGATTGGGATTTCGTATTGATAAATTTATCCCTAAAAATGAATTGAATTAGACATTTTTAGCTCCATCCAACATATTGAACCAACCGATGATTTTTATCACTGAAATTTGTATCATATCATTCATTTTTTTTTAAATTTTCATCCATGTAGGAGAGCAATTTGAAGCACACAGATGAAGAGATAAAAATATACCGAATGTTGCTAGCAGAAATTAAGGATAAAGATGAAGACAAAGACGAAGATGAAGAAACTGATTTTCAAAGATAAATCCAAAGATGAAACATTTAAACCACATCCACACGAAACATGCCCTGAAAAGAAAAAGAAATCAATACCCTTCGAATCACAAAAGAATGAAAGAAGGCAAGTTGACAATCAGCCTGAAGTGGATCAAAATTTGGTGTAAGTACTTGTTTTTCAGAAGATAGAAGACAATATGCTCAAAATGGAAAAGTTACAAATGGAAAAGGACATCCTTCAAACTGCAAATGATAACCTATAGCAGCAACTTAAGAAGCTGACAAAAGACATGCAAGATCAGCAGAAAACTACAAAAAATCAAATGCAGAGGAAAGATGAAGAAATGAAGATACTCCATGAGAGAATTGCAATCTTGGCTGAGGCAAACAAGTACTAGGAAGAACAACACACACAAGAACAACCTACAATGAAGGAATTGAAAACTTCATACGAAGTTTTTAACATCCTACCAAAAGAAATAAGACAAAATCTCATTGCACATTGGGCAAATACAAAGAAAAAGTAACAATCTTCTCTCCTGACTCCTGTAGTTCACTTTTGCCAACTGTTTATCATTAACTCATATTGAATTGATAAGTATCAAATATTCTAAAAACATTAATAAATTTATTATTCCATTATCCCAACACTAATAACTCTTTTTTCAGGGATGAGACAATGTGGCAAGGAGCTGACCATAAAACCTATGTCTATTTAAATGACATTGACAAAATATTGAAGGGCGAAGATTTGGCAAGCATTGTAAGTTGAATTTGTAACTCATTAAAATAATATTTTATTGTTTGATTTATATTAATTCCTTGTTTTGTTTTTTATTTTCAACACAGGTAATAGACGCATATGCAGAACACTTGCTTGCACAAAAACAAGGAACAACATCATTCATATTCATTTCAAGTTACCATGTAAGTAATACATAGTATTTGCCATTTTTTTTCAGATATTTGTGTATTGTTTAATGAATTTTTTTTTTTTTTTGTAATCTTCATGGCATCTCATCTATGCTAGGAAATTATTCAAGAAATAAATTTTATCAGTGCATAACCTCTGTTTTCTTAACTGAGTAGTGAATTTTGCAATGCAGTGATAAATTTTGATATGGAATGATAAAATTTTGATCACAGTGATAAATTTACTTAATTTTGTGGTAGCAAATTATTTAAGCTTTTCTGTTTATGTTGTGTGATTGAGTTCATTGTTGTGACTTTATAATACTTTGTTTGCTTAATTAAGTTAAAAACAAAGTATTATAATTAATATTATAATACAAGTACTTCAATTTATCACTATAAATTGCATACTCGCCACCTATTTAATTTGAAAAAGTTTAAATTAACATTATTTTATTTATTTATATTTGTTAGCACTTGTTGACAACAAAAGATGAGGAAACAACAAAGAGAATGCTAAACAAATTGATGACTGAAGCCATGAAAAGAAGATACATTCTCTTCTTAATCCACCAAAATTTTCATTGGACAATACTTGTCCTTGACATTGAAGAAGGTTCATGGAAATTCTACAATTCCATGAGACTAGTGAAGCAATGCGTAAAGATCCACACTTTAATGCCGCAAATGAAGTGGTAAAAATGTTTTCACTATCAAACTTACCATTAATCCAATACATCAATCCTGATGCATGCTCAATTATACATCAAAAATTTATACAGTAATATATTTATCATTCTTTAAATCCATGGTTTCTCATTAATTATTTCAACTGACTTTCTAATAGAACAATTATACAAATTTATATGTTGTAGAGAAAGATTATTGACAAGTACATAAAGGATGAGAAGCTAACTCTCATCGCCCTTGATAAATTTCAACAGGAGACCGTGAGAGTCATCAACAGCCCACAACGAGAAGACACTTTGTAAGTCGATCAATAACAAAACACTCTTATAAAAAAAAATGAGACGAAACCAAATTATAATATTTTGTTTTCAAAATGTTTTTGCAGGCTTGATTGCGGAATCATTGTTTGCTATATCGTGAGGCAATATGTTTCTAACAACAACATAATACCTACTTTTTTCAAGGAAGAATGCGATCAATTGAGATCCGATATATTAACTATCTTCTTGACTGATCAACAAACTGCTCAATAACAAATGGTTGATGAAAACATTGATGACTTGTTTTCGCAATAACCAACAGATCTCAAAGAGAAAAAAACATTTTGCTTGTTTGGTTGTTACAGTGTAACAAAAATGAAACATTGATTCATTTGGTTGTTAGAATGTGAATACTTCATATATTTTGCTTGTTTGGTTATTACAGTGTTACCTATATTTTGATCATTTTGGTTCTTACTTTGCTTCAATGAATATTACAATGCTTGGTTGTTACAATGTCAAATTTATGGATAATACACTAAATAAAACTTTCAGTCTTTTTTAGTAATATTGTTACCCGATCTGGCTTTTGATACCAGTCTTGTTTTATGCAAATTTCATTCAAAATATTGATTACAATTTGATTATTTGTGTCAAATTTTAAGGTTAATAACAGGTTTGGACCACTTCATTATTAACATGACAATTTTTTTCATTCTTTTTGACACTGATAAATTTATCACTGTTCAAACAAAAAGAAAATAGCAACTCTCTCTCTCTTGCTCTCTCTCATTCTTTTTTCCAATTCAAGTAAACAAAACACTATAAAAAAATAATAAAAAATTTACCTAAATTAAAAATTAAAATACAAACACTATTAGATTGTCCAAATTGAAAATTAAAATACTGTTACAGTTTGTAGATATTTCCAAGTTTGAGAATAAATGTAAGAACATGCCATTCTGGGTATGACAGTGATAAATTTATCACTGTAAAAAAGAACATTTGGTTGGATATGACAGTGATAAATTTCTCAACCACTGACATAAATGTAATAAACCATTAACTCTTCCCATACAATCAGTGGTAAATTTATCATTCTTGAAAATAACAAAATTCAGGAACCCCATTAATACTTGATTACTTCCTTCAAATATTGGTAAATTTATTACTCTTACAAAAAAATAATCCGCCAACTTACTAGTGATAACTTTACCACTGTATAAAACATCAAAAACAACAACTACATTTAATCAAAATCAAATAATATAAATTTGTGAAACTTAATCCTGTAAACATATCAGCAAAAAATATAATTTCTGTTTAAAAAATTCCTCAATCATTCAATGCAAGTACCAAAATGATATATCTTTCTAAAAATACTCAATCATTCAATGCAAGTAACACCTCTCAACTCTCAGCAAACAAATTCAATTAAAATCAATACAACTAAAGCAAAGCTTCTTTACATATCTTCCAATTATGAGTTCCCATCTTTCCACACCTACTGCACCTAATTCTCTTGATTTTGCCCTTAGAAGGTATTCTCTCTATTCTTGAACGTCCAACTGGTCTCTTACAAAGAGGAGGTAAAACAACGTCATCATCAACAACTACATTTGGCTTCCATATACTTGGAACTGGATAGATAGAATGTGAAGAAGAATCACAATAACTATGAACACGGTAGTAATCATCAAGAAAACAATTCAAATCCTTTCCACTCCTCTTTATAGCACAAAAACCATGTTTGCAAGGAAAAGAATCAATTTCTCACAATCAACAAGAACAAGAGTGTTTCCCAATATCAACCATAACAGAATGATCCAATTGGATTTTAGAAATGTCATCGTTACATTTCTTAACAATCCATGCCTCTGTATCATTAAAAGCTTCTTCCAACTTTTTCTCTGCAAAAGGACAAACAATATGATTCCACTTATTCCCAACTTCTCTCCTTTTTGAAAATTGCTCCATTAGTTTCACCCATATAGCATCAAAAAGACTAGTTGAAAACAAATGGCGTTCATCCCTAATCCATGAATTAAAAGATTCTGTAGCATTTGTGCACATTTCACCATACCCCTTGCCTTGAAAATAAGCGTTACACCAACACTCATTAGGCAAATCCTCAAGAAACTTCTGAACACTATGACCACAACGACCTTTAAAATTTTCAAATAGCTCATTAAACAACTCAATAATAGGAGCATATAAAAGAGTAAGAAAATACTCTTTAGATTCACTACTCTTCACTGACAAATAAGTCTTCAAGTTTGTCTTCAAATGCATCAGACAAAAAGAATGAGAAGAAAACGGAAAGACCTCAGCTGAAGCCTTCAGCAAACTTCCATGCCGATCGGTTACAAACGCAATATCCCTCCCCGGAGTCAAAATAACTAATAACTTTGACAAGAACCAATGCCAACTGTCATAACTTTCACTATCAACAATGGCAAAACATAACATATATAAACCTACAAACAAATTATATACACTTTATTAGTAACAAATAAAAAAATATTACAAAACAAAAGCAAAACGCAAAGTATATAACATATAGCACTAACCATAGATAAATTTATCACTGTATAACTAGAAAAAATCAATAGCAGCATACAACATATAGAATCAATGTATAGTAAATTTATCATTGTATAAATATAAAAATTTAACAAAAGTATACAACATAAATTTGTCACTAATAGATTGACCATACTCAATAATCAACACTCTCCAGTAACAAAAATGATAAAATTATCACTGTTTTAATAATAATAACAAATAGACACGGAATATATCTTGGTTACTGTCTTTTGTCGTAGCAACTAATAAACAACCTTTGTATCTTCCTTTCAAGAAAGTTCCATCAAGTATCAACACAGGCCGACAATACTTGAAACCATGAATACATGCCTTAAAAGCGAAAAAGAAGCATTTGAAATGTTTTCCTTCACTATCAACATCAAATTCCATATTGAAACACTGCCCGGATTACAATCAATAGTGGCATCACCAACAAAGATCGTCAAATGATGATGAATAATCACCAAAAACAAGACCCCTTACTTTTTCAACACCCATCCAAGCTTGCCGATAAGAAACTTCTGTTCCATAATAGTCCTTAAAATCACAAACCACCTCACTAATCGATGCCAAAGCCTCATTACGAATCTCACTTGAAATTAGCCTACCAATCATACTCGAAGTCATCCTTGCGTGTTTAACTGTACGAAAAGAAGATCCACACGTATGAACATAATCAAATTGTTTACTAACAAAAGCTTTACTAGAATTTTTCACTCTAGCATGCACGCTCCATAAACATCCAAAATCAGCCCTTCTCTTACAATGAACAGTGACACGATCCTTGTCATTTTTAACAAAATCAAAATCAAAACCAGAATGAATAGAATACTTTGACAACGTATCTCAAAATTCAATAACTCCTTGAGCAAACCTTTGTCCTACTCCTTTCATACAATTAACCCAACCATCAGAGAGCAAAGGTTTCCGTTGATTTGAATAAAATGAAGGCAAAAAATTAGTTTCACAAACAACACTACTACTACTGTTAGCTTCACCATCACAAATCATATAACCTTCACCCAAAGAACTGTTGGAAAAATGGTTTAATATAGGCTTATTTTGGGCCATCTTTGAGCCCAAAATTAAATGGGCCCCAAATGCCTTTTGGGGTGGGTCCGAAAAGGTGATGTGTTCCTTGCTGCGTGGCAAGTCACATGGTGAAGAAGGTTCGTCAAAACCATTTATGAGTGAATGGAAACTTGACGTCATTTTTGGGTTCGTGGAATGGATATTTAAAGAATTAAATGTGGGTTTCCTTCAAATGGGTTGTCCCACATTGAAATTTTAAGAGAGCTCCTTCGTGTATATAAGCTCTAGACTACAACACTTGGGTTAGGCCCCAAGGGACACCCCAAGTTTGTAGAAAGGAGGAGTTATGGACAAAGTGAACATTAGCCCAAACCACCACACACGCGCGCGCGCCGCCGCCGTCCGTCCGTCTGGTCATGTCGGTTCTAATATTAATTTTTTTTAGACAAAATTTATTTGGATCTTTTCTAAAATTCTTGTGGGAAAATTTAATTTTTTGAACCGAAATAAATTCAATTTTTGAATTTAATTTTTTCTGTCCATTTGATACCTTTCTAGTCCAAAATTTCTCACTGTTTTCAAACTGTTTTTCGGTTATTAAACTTCCAGAAACTGCCCAGCAGTTTCGGGTTTGACTGCTGCAGTTTACAGAATTCAAATCTGTCCAGATCTGTTTGAATTTAAGTTGTATCTGTTCGGAATAGTTTTGCATCTGTTTGTTCAAAATTCTGCACCTGTTCGGTTCTATTTATTCCAGCACTGTCCAACAATTTAAGGCATCTGAAAATCAGTCTGCTATTTTTGATATTGCTGTCCAGAATTTTCTCCTTTGCATTTTAATCTTCATTATAGTTTTAGAGAATTTTAAAGAGAATATAAGAACATAAATTTTTAGTTCGCTGGACAAATTTGTTTGGAGTGCTACTACAAATTTGTGAAGATCATTGTATCATGGGAGATAGATGCCACTCAATCGTAAGCACCATAGCGGGGCGAATCTGTCTTAAGGACATAGTGTCACACATTTGACTTGGTCTTTTATTTTTCCATTCGGTTCGATAAAATAAATTCTGTAAGTTATTTATTTTATTTTGTTTGAATTAGTTTCAATTTATTTTATTTACACAAAAGATTGTTCCAATAAGAACAACACTTAACAAAAACATTAATACGATGAATATCAAAAGAAAGTGCGAGTCCAACTATAGCCTCCAAATCCTCTTTACTTTGTAGACCACAACAAAAATGTTCAGGCATTGAATATGATATATTCAAAGAACTACTGTAGGAACCCACATTTTATGTCTTCGTCATGTTCATGAGCGCCTGTATGATTATGGCTTGTTAAGCTTGCATGTGTATGTTTGTGACTTGTTTCGCTTAAGCGAGTGTGATCCATGCCTTGTTTTGAAGCCTTGTGATTTGTCTAAGTGTAGTGTGCTTGTCTTGTTCCTTCCTCGATGTGAAACTTAGGTCACGCCTTGCCTGAGTTATGCTAGCCGATGTTATTCCAAGCCTAGGTTACGTTATGCCTAGATTATTCCAAGCCGAGGTCATCCTCAGTCTAGAAGTATTTTGGAACCCCTTGTTGACCTCCGTCCTTGCCTTGACACATTAGCCGAGATGTTACCTTGCACCCAAGTGATCTCGCCCTGGAGTGGTACGACCTAGACCGAGGTGTGGCGCATCTAGGCCAAGATGTGGCACAGCTTAGTCAAGTGTTGTCCTACCTAGCCGAGGTCATTGTCACCTTAGTTGCCGAAGTCCTTTTGATTAGCCGATGTCACCCCTTGCCGGAGCGCCATTCCGCGTAGCTTGTTAGATACGCCTTGTTATTAGCCGATGTCATTGCCTCGTCAGAGAGCCCATACCGCTTTACTTGTTGAACACCCTTCCACCATGCTTTGTCTGGTCTGTCAGCCACCTTTTCAGGGAAAACCCAACCAGTCGCCGCCACGTGTCTCAGCAGAGGGTTAACCCCAGAACCGTGTAAGGGAACCTATCATTTGGTATCATAACCTTGCCTTGTAGAGAGAGAAACTCTAGGAGGAAGAAGGAGCTTTAGAGTGAGGAAGTAGATCTTCAAGCTTGATTCCTAGAGATCGAACCGTTAGATCCGTGTTCTAAGGTTAGTTCTTTATGTTTATGTTATTGCATTGCATGATCGGATATGATTTGTAAGCCATGCAACGTCTTGAAATTCAGTTTTAGAAAGAGAAAATGACATTCATGTATTCTTCAAGAAAGTCATGTTTTGATCCGAAAATTTTTGCCTAGACTCATGTTTTGTGGTTGTTCTTGCATGATTTTCAACTATGGGTACCCAGGTCCATGATTTCAAACTCGTAACATGAAAATCCCAGATTTGTGATAACAGATTGGATATGATTTGTAAGCCATGCATCGTCTTGAAATTCGGTTTTAGAAAGAGAAAATGACATTCATGTGTTCTTCAAGAAAGTCATGTTTTGATCCGGAAAGTTTTTGCCTAGACTCATGTTTTGTGGTTGTTCTTGCATGATTTTCAACTATGGGTACCTAGGTCCATGATTTCAAACTCGTAACATGAAAATCCCAGATTTGTGATAACAGATTGTGATCGAACATTCATATTTTTCATGTTTTCATACTCATGTTCTTCATAATTCATCAGTAGAGGGAAACCCAGATTTTCCCCGATCTCTTGTCCTTAAGTGTGGCCCTCGGGAACACGCCTCGGCGAGAAGGTGTGGAACCTCGGCCTAGACCTGGTTGGTGCCCAGCATGTTTTCCGAGATCATTTGTGTACATACGAAACTTGTTTGAAGGTGCATTCAATAGGCTTTGCCATGTGTTTGTAGGACCTGGGCTTGTCTCGACCCCCGACATGTGAAGAACTATGTGAGTGGTATTTTTAATAAAGCTATGTTACACTTGCTTTCATAAATCTCGTCTTGCCTTGTTTTGAAAAGTACTTGATCTAGCATGAATGATTATCCCTATTTGTATATTAAACACTATCTTGTTTTGATGACATGTCTTGAAAGTCCTTAGCTGCAGGGGACTATAATGTAACTGCACTCTTGTCTTGAAAGTCCTTAGCTGCAGGGGACTATAATGCAACTGCACTCTTGTCTTGATATGTCATCACCCCCTTGTGAAAAATCTAGAAATCCCCTAGATGTTGATTTGTGATTATGTATCAATTTTAGGCAGAATATAACAATCCCAATCAAACAATCAAGACAAAGAGACACAACGATTTTAACGTGGAAAAAACCACAATTGGACACCTCCAACTGTGATAAAAAAACCACCGGGCAATAGCCACAAAAACAATCCACTAAGAAGATTTAAAGGAATTACACAGGTATACTCTCAATTACCTAGCGAATCCACAACGCCTAATTGAACCAACCTCTATGTGCCTCTTCCAACCCCATCTTCACCACGGAATTGTCTTTCTGATGAGCCACTCCGGATTCCACCAAAGCTTCAGGCACGAATTCTTCAGAATCCACAACTGAAGAATAACTCTCTCTTTTGTGTATAACAAACAAACCTTTGATGTACTTTGTATCTAAGTTGTAAGACCTTGTAAAAATGTATGTCATTTCATTGGATTTAAGCACGACTCTCATGGACTATTTAGATTCAGTATATGTATATATGTTGCTTCCGCACTTGTAAGCCCCATATTTTATACTCTGATTGTGTGTGATTTTTGTAAGTCGGCCTTCGGTAATCTCGGATTACTGGCCATCACGGCACCAAACTATTAGGGGCAGTTTGGGGGTGTGACAGAATGGTATCAGAGCACGCGTTCCTTATAGTACATTATTCACACACTTTGAGTCCTAAAGAGCATAGGATGTCCCTTAGAATCATGTTAGGATTGCATCATATTACTTGCTACTTGACTACGTGTGCATCATTTCGGCATAGACATTTGTTACTTGTATACGTATTATTTGTTCAGTTATTTTAAAGCCTCATCTTGCATTCTCCTAGCATCATGAGGAGGGGTAGACCTCCAGTTGGCCGAGATCGTTCAGAAGATAGATTGGAGAGATTGGAAAGGTTAGTCGAAGGCTTGGTTCGTGAGCAGAGACAACCTAGGCCACAGGATACTGGTACGACTTCCACGCAGGCCGAGCAGACGAATGGCCGTTATACAGCACCACCCCCTCCAGTGCCACAAGCGCCTCTACAGCAGGCTTTGTATGGGAACGACACAATAACCCTAATCAGAGAGTTCAAGAAAATGAAACTGCCGAGATTTCAAGGAGGTATAGAACCAATGAAAGCCGAGGCATAAAACGGTACCAAAAAAAAAAAAAAGGCTCAGGACCTGTTGGTGCACAAGAGCAATCTTCAGGACCAAGAGAGGAAAAATTAAAAAAAGTAGGACCGGCCAGTAAAAAACCCTCTTTTTAAAAGTGTTGTTGGTCAGGCCCAAACATCAAGTTGTCTTGTTGTACGACTTCTCTTCCGTTGTTCCCAATTGGGGGGTATTGTTGGGCCTCCATGGGTCTACAATAAAACTCGCATCAATAATTTGAATCGTTAATATGTAAAACGTATTGAGCACTTCATCTCTATAAAAAATTATTTTA